AACCCCAAACCCACAATGTTATGCTAAAATCTAATCTAACAAATACACGTTCCACAAAAAGAACTGAATCAAGCAGCTTTTTGTACCTTTTGTTTCTCCAGCTGTACCTTTAGTTCCATTAGCTTTCTTCCCATTGGGAAAATATTTTTCAAATCCTATTAAGAAAGAGTTAAAGAGCTCATAATTGTTTTTTAGTTTACAATTCTGTCATTCCACTTCAGTAGTCACAGGCTGGATGTATACAACAGCAAAGAAGCTAGCAACATATAGACTGCAAAGACGGTTTTGTTCTTGTATTTTTGTTGACGAGCTCTACCAGGTTCCCATAAATAAATCTACTACTGTTGACAAGAAAATATCAAATGTATTTAATAACCTAAAGTAAAGCTGTCCTTTAAACCAGAGATAGACAAGCTTAGTTCAACAGAAAATTGCATTTCACAGCATGAGGTTGAGCAAACTGCAGTCATTCTTTAATAGCTCCTAAAAATCCCATAAATCAATGTTCCACCTCAAGATTAATGGCTGGTTAGTATAAGAACTTACTTCCCCGCAGACAATAAACCTAACTGGCACACAAGTGCAGTCCTCAGCAAGGAATGCAGTCTGCTTCGCTTCACTGATCAAAGTTATAATCACCTTTGGGAGGTTGAGAGAAAAGCCTTCTGCAAGCAGCAATTACACTTGCCCAAACAGTACTTCTGTCAGTAGCAGCTCCAGTGGTAACTTTTTCACGGAGCTGAAAGACGAAAAATAAATATAAAGCAACAAGAAGGTGCCACAAGAATCTTGAAGCTCTCTAATAATCCTGAACTGCAACAAGTCAGGTATTACTTTACAACAGGAACTTTACAACAGACTTCATAGTAACTGCTGTGGACCAGAGCGTAAGACAACAATAGAAAAGGAAAAGTCAATCAAATGGGTAATTTCTACAGCAAGGAAATTTTTATTCTATTTGTTAAGAGCAGAGTTTCATCTTACATACAAACATAACATTCTTTATTAAAAGAGGAAAAAAAAAGTCAAGCAGGAAACACTACAAGCTATGAACATTAAATACCTACACACTGATCCTATGGGAAATATTTCATAGTACCAGCTGAATGACACTTAAGTGCAACACTAACTGTGATCGTACAAGCACGATCCACACAGTACTGAATTATGTCTTGCTAAAGAACTGCGTCTTTTTCCAAATAGTTAAGAACCTGTAACTTCTCAATATGAAAGATCTGCTTGAATCCAAAAGAAAGGGATATGGCAGACAAAGCTTACGTCCAGCTAAGAAACCAACACAGAGGAGGAACGCCAGTTCAAAAAGCAGACCTAAACCCCTATGTAGGTGAAGATCCAGTTATAAGAACACAACAAACCCAAGTCTATCACACCTTGTTCTAAGACTAATTGTTTACTGTTATTCACCATTTAAGTGCAATTGAAGGAAACAAATATTTTCAATGACTACTTCTTAAGAAAACTTTTAGTATCGTAACTGAATACTTAAAAACAGAGTAAACTGCAGTTTTATTACAGAGAAATCAAACCCCCTGTCTTCAAGACAGACATATTTTAGATAAAATCCCAACTTATCCCCTTCCCAAGCTTCCCCGGCGCTTCTAAGGGGAAAAAAAAAAAAAATTCATATCAAGATTTCCCCACAGGCTGACTTTCTTTCTGCCTCCATTCCCTTCTGCCCCACAGAGGTGCTCAGTCTCCTTCTGTTCTTTTTGATCAGAAGTTACTGACCTTAAGAGCCAGAGAAATAGTAAAAAAACAAACCGAACCCAAAAAAAGAGAGAACAACAGGTCCTGGAAACATGACTCAAGGTATCCAATGCAAGACAGCAAACATCCATCTAGGACTAACACCTCTAGGACTACATTTGTGAAGGAAAGCTCAATGTTAGCACCTCCATAGCACTTTTGTTATAGTCAAGTTACAATGGTTGTAGACAAAACCTGTTTTTGCATATTAAACAAACTTGTAGGATACTAGATTACGTGCTAAGACTACACTAGGAATGCTGACGTATCATTAATTGAATTCTAACTCTCCTGAAGCTTTCTGTCTGGGAGCTTCCCCCTCCACCCCTTATTAAATGATGAAATACATTAGACTTATTCTGAGTAGCCATCTAGTTCCACCTGCTGGAACCAAGCGGAATACCAGAATGTCCTTGTTGCTTGCTTTTGCTGTAGACTGAGCTAAGAATTCTTAGGCTGCTCCATCCAGCCATTATTTTGTGCCACTGCATGTCTTTGAATAAAGGTCTGATACTGAAAATCCAAGAGGGTATTTACTGATCATGAAAAGCATGTGCGGTACAGATAGCCTGGAGAACAGCTGATCTAGAGAACAGCTACTAGGTCCAATACACTATGACCTCCAACATGAGCAATTGCATCTGTGCTCCTAGAAGAAGCTTTAGGACAAGTGGGATGCATCTGTGTGGGCAATAAAATAAAAAGAGCCTGCCACAGACCAACCCATCTCTGTAGTTCAAATACAAATGAATGTTGCAGCAACAGATGAAACTCAAAGACATGTCCAGTAATACTGGCTTCTCTTCTATGTCACTGGTCTCCTACAACACCAAAAAAAATTGGGAGTTCTTTATTCCGCAAGCTCAGATTACTTTTTATTTGTAAAGAGACAGGAATATTCAGAAACCTTTACTCCAACTAAAATAAAGTAACTGCTCATGTTTAAAAGAAAAGTTTAAGTAAGCCAATTCCAACTGTCCAATTGCTTGACTCAGCTAGACCAGCATGGGTTTATTACAGAATTAAATTATAGTTTAATCAGGTTGGGGTGGGAGGGTAGAGGAGGGAGAGAAGGAGGGAGCAAAGGAGAGAGATGGGTAAGCAGATAGAGCTTTGGGGCAGACATGACTAATGGAACTGGTTTGTTGCTGGATTGTCTCTACAGATCCTAAATTCCGTGAATAAATGCCTAGTCACCTGTCAAGTCAACATGCAGAGCGCTGAGTGTTTTAAAAGTCGTTTTGTGAGAAAAGGGAACAACTGACTTCATGGCACATTCAGTAAATCACCTGACTGAGTCTGGGAGGCGTGCTTTTATGCTACCAGCAGGTCTCCCGAAACATGCGGTTTCCTTTCACCATACCGTTCCACAAATGCAAAAGTTGTTAGAACCATGCCACACTGGTAACAACTGCTTGGGTTTGGGTTTGTTTTTTTCCCCCTCATCTGTAAGTCATCAGCATGAAAACTGATCATACTGATCCTGATACAGGACCTGTCCCTGGGGTGGCTGGCAATGGGAATGCCCCAGCAAGCTTAGCTGATATAAGCACACCCACTGCCTAAGCAGAGGGAAAGCAAACAAAGCACATTTAGCCTGGATGCTTAAATAGTACAGCGCCTGTTTTGGGCTACGTACCATGAAACTCTGCCCAGCTTCTCTCAGTCAGAGATGAAAGAACTGTCACAGCATACAAAGCAAAAAAACCTTATCTAATATTTTTTTTTCCCCAGGCAAACCTTGTGACACCTTCCTAAAAAAAAAAAAAACCCACAAAAAAACCCACCCCAAACAAGACTTTTTTTAAAAATATAAGTTCAGTATAAGCAAGTTTAGAGTACACAACGTCTGTTTTACAAATGCAATGAAAATGTTACTACACCAGAGTATAACATAAACCTGAGATCTGTAACACCAAATAAATGCCTTCTCCATGATTCCAACATTAAACAAAATAGGTAATTTTAAATAAGCAGAACTACTGACTTTACAAAAACATTTTAACCATAATCCATTTTTGTAAAACTGAGGATACACAAAACAAGAACAGAAAAATCCACTCGCTTAGTTATGTAAGCAAAAGATCAAGAATCTATTAATTCAAGGAAGTTACAAGTTGACAGTTTTATCCATAAACAAGTTCCAAACCAAACAAAATAAAGTGAAGCCAAAAGTGTTAATTATCTAACAGTCACCAAAATATTACATAAGAGCATGTTAGGGAGGGAACAGAAAGCTGGTAAAGAAATCTAACTTCATGCAAGCTACTTATTTTGTTTTGCCAAAAGCCGTTACTTTTATATTTTTTTGATCTTTCATTTAAAAACAAAAATTAAAAATCATTGTTTTGCTGCCTATACACACACAGGTGCTGGAGTGAATACAAAGTTCTCTTCACAGTTTCTGTTCCGTTCCAAATAAGAACTCACTGAATTTTACTGACAGAAACAAGAATTAGCTTCCTGACAGATTAGCAGTACTTCTGACAGTGTTTCATTTATTGTTGTAATTAATAATAATCATTTATTACTGTATTGTTCAGATATGACCACACAAAAACACAAATTCAATATTAAAAACGAACACATATTTATACTTAGGACTAAGTTACTAACATCCTTATGTATATTAATCTCAAAATTATCACCATCCTAGTGACAACCTTCAAGGTGCAATTGCTCTCCACTATATACTACAGAAAAATTAAGCAACCTGCCCAAGACGCCATTGAAAGGTGCAGGAAAAAAGGTGCATCTCCCTTTTCCCAAGCAGTAGCGTAGGCCTGTCATTACTCCGATACGGTAGGGTTGACAACAAGGATAATACACGTTATCCTTGTTAGGATAATACACGTTATCCTTGTTAGGATAGCTGACAAGCCTAAACTATTTTGCTAAGAACGAACACCCAGCCACCGTGATTTATCGGTTAATACTAGAACGGCAGGTTCGAACCCATACCACCACTGCACCGTGCAGTCCCGGAATGCGACCAACCGGCCACCTGCCTTCCCTTTTCCAGCACACAACCCTTCCCTCACTGGCGACCCAAACCCCCGAACAAACCGCTCGGCCCGCAGCGCAGACGCCATGTGCAGCCAGGCACAAACCCACCTCCCGCGCATCACCGCCCTGAAAAAGCAACGGAGGTACTTTTGAGTTAGGGGGAGCGCATCACCCTCACTGGCGACCCAAACCCCCGAACAAACCGCTCGGCCCGCAGCGCAGACGCCATGTGCAGCCAGGCACAAACCCACCTCCCGCGCATCACCGCCCTGAAAAAGCAACGGAGGTACTTTTGAGTTAGGGGGAGCGCATCGCTTGAAAACCCGCTGGGAACCCGGCGATCC